CCGCAGGCATGCATGGGCACAGTTAGACATCATGGTTCATCCACTGGTCCTCTGGTGTCATAACCAGACAGACTTTACCACCAGGATGTTAAAGGAATAAATCTCCATTTTTCGGTTGTCAGGGCAGTGTACGCCGTGGATGCACTTTGTCCCTACATGGGGGGGGGGGGGTCCTTGACTTCTGTTTTACACTCTCCTCTCACTTGTGATGCCTTTCTGGGAAAGAAGCTGAACTCCACCTGAACAAGAATAGATATGGACACATATACGTGTGCACACATTCCACATTTGTTCCACATCATGGTGATTCAATGCATTAAAACGTTAGACCTGGGACTCAGGTCTGCTGGCTGGTGAACCCACCTCTTTCCGGAGAGGCTCAGTGGTAGAAACACAAGAAGGTGGCCCCTAGGCAGGCTGGGATCTGTCCCTAGGCAGGACGCAGGTACCCACAGGCAGCTGCTGGTAAGGGGTGTTACCCCTTGTCCTGGTACAGGGCTAGCCGAGCACAAAGAGCATGGTGGGAGCTTGCTTGTGCCAGGACTAAGTGGGAGCCTAGGATAGGCTGGAGGGTGGGAACCAGGCCTTAAGCTATGACAGGAAAGGCCAGGAAAGACAATACTTGAGGTCAGTGGCCAGAATGTGAGTCCCCGTGAGAGTTCACCGGAGCCCCTGAGTAGCAGGCAGGAGGGAGGGCGAGATCTTCCACGGTGTCTAGAACCTTCTGCATCTGTGGAACACCAGCACAAGGAAGCCACTGGCCAGATGTTCGGACCCTGAATCTCTAAGATCAACGCTGAACCCCCAACCACCCCGTCTCCTCAGAGTATCCTCTGTGCCCCACTAGCTGGTGTGAGTCAGAGGTGGAGACGCGTGTCACACGAGACCACTTTAACTAGTAAAAAGGGCTAAGAACCTCCTTCAGAGGGTGCCATGCCTAGAAAGGGAAAACCCCGGTAAAGTGGCCAGGGGGAGGGCATGTTCCTCAGAGGCCACACCCAAAGGGGGACGTTCCCGGGAGCAGGTCCTAGGTGACCTCACTCTACCCTGCTGCCACCAACATGCCCTGCCTTGCTTACCCCCGCTGCAGTGTGCAGAAGGGCAGAACCACACATCTTGAAGTTCCCCCAAAGTGAGTTTTCAGAAAGTCCACACTGCACACATTACTCGTGGCACAAAGCTTTATTGGGCACCTCTCAGCAGTCACTCCAGGGGATCCCAGCTGAGCCAGCCTGGGAGGGGCAGGTCTGCCAGGCAGACCCAGAACTTCATCTGCTGCGTAGTAGGCTGCTGGCCCCTGAGGAAGAACGGGCCAGGTAGAGGGCATGTGCTCCTTTGAGGACAGTCCAGGCAGGCAGGAAGGCTGGGCTCCCCTGCATGGGGAAGAGTGCCACAGGTCAGGTGAGGGCTCTGGAAGGAAAGAAAGATTAAGGGGGCCCCAAAGGGAAGAGAAGGGCAAGAGGAACACCATGGGTGGAAGTCCAGAGGGAGGAAAGGCCCTGGAGTGTCCAGGGGCCAGTGCAAGGGAAGCAGAGTAGAGTAACGGGAGTGATGCCCACGGAGGCCCAAGTCCACGCCACCAAGCCATGATGAGATGGGGCCATAGGCAGGTCACTGGGCTGTCGTTCTCCAATGCTCTTCTAAGTGTGGGGGCTGAACTATCTTTTCTGAGCGCCTAGGAGGTACTACTCCTGCTGGGAGATGTGTAAACCCCTGACACTACCCACCAAGCTCCATGACAGCCTTGGGAAAGAAAGGCAGAGACTAAGCCTGCCACACCCACCCACCAGCCACACCTAGAGGCTGGGAAACAAGGGGTTCCTGTCAGGCCCACCAAGCACCCCCTCACAGGCAGACCACTATGGGCGAGATCTTGCAAGTGGAAGGCTGGCCAAAGTCCAGTCCACCCCAGTCATGCCAGGGCCCGGGCCCCCACCCCCACCCGGAGTTGTGCCAGGGCACCAAATGGACCCAGGCCAACATATCCCTCCTTTTCTCTCCCCTGTCTGCCCTCTGCTGGAGCTGGAAGAGGGCAGGCAAGAGGGCCCAGGACATGCCCTGCCTGGGACCTTGAAATATGAGCAGCACCTAACTTAGGTCCCCTCCCAAATCTGCCAGGTCCACCGAGGCCCAAGCATCCAATGGACTTCAGATGGGTCTTGGCCTTGGCCAGTATGCACACTCTATAGACAGCTGGAACAAGACAGGGCAGCCTAAGCAACTGGTAGAAAGGGAGAGAGCTATAACTAGTTGGGGCTGCTGCCCTGGAGGGAAGTGGAAAAAGAGGGGGCTAAAAGAGATGGGGGAACAGGAAGAAGGGTGTATGGAGCACTGGAGTGGGAGTTGTCAAGCCAGGTATGTGTCCCAAAGGCCAGAATCACCCATGCCTTGGGTCTGTCCTCACCTGTACAGGAGGCCATAGGAGTCAAGGGGTACTTCATCCAGTGCTCTGGAGTCCTGAGGTGTGGGGTACAGCCTGTCCCCCACACACCAGCAGCTGCCCAGCGAGGCTGACAGCTTCTTTCTCAGGTGTCCCACATCAGGAAGGAGTGATGATCAGATGTGACTGGTCCCATAGGGCAGGACCAGCAGGGCTGGACTTATGTCTGTCCCAGACTATGACTGCCACATGGCATATGCATCCAGACACATGAACATACCCCAGGTGGCCTTTTCAGAAACTGAATGTGGCAAGGAGAGGACCTGCCTCATATGCCTGTCCCAAGTCCCTGAGTGAAGGAGCAGGACACCCGCCCTAGAGTGGTGTCTCCTAGAGATGAGGGAATCTTGGGCTGAGGAGAATTATCTCTTGCCCTACCCAAGACAGGGTCTCAGAAGCCCCCAATCTGCCTCTCAGACTCTTCAGCATGTCTCTTTTCTATCACCCCAGTACAAAAGAGAAGGAGGTAGAGGTCTGCAAGCTCAGAGAAGCCCTGCTTCGGGATAGAACCCTATGAGTGGGACCCCCAGTCAGGTATGTTCAGGGAAAGTTTCCTAGTCCACCTGAAAGCCCCTAACATGGCTGCTAGGAACAGTAGGAGTCTGCTGGCTTCCCTCAGGTGGGAAGTGTTGGGCTGTACATCCCGTCCCACAGAGCAGAGAAATCCTCTGACCCAGAGGGGAAAGGAGAGCCCCATTCACAGGCTACTCTGTTCTCCAAGCGAGGTACACTCAGGGCTCCAGCGGCTGCAGCCACAGGTCCCGCCAAAGGAACCCCTGGCAGAGACCGCTGAACCCAGTGGCGAGGGTGGGCGCCTACCTGTGCCCCCTTGCCCTGGGCCACTTGCCCTGCGGACGGTCGACTTCTCCGGACAAGTTCCTTGGCTAGTGGAAAACGATCTGCCGGCGCCCACCCGCTCGGGACGCCAGAGCAGTCTCAGGCGGAAAAGTTAGGCAGCTGGTCTCGGCTGGGAGGGCAGCGCACGGGACAGCACCGGGCAGCGCGGCTGGAGCTGCGGTACCCGGCTGGGGTCCCGTCACCCAGAAAAACCCCTGCGATTACTGGGGTGTTCTTGGCCGTGCGGCTCCCGGGAGCTTTGGGGTTGAAACCCTGCCCTGGGGAGGGGGGTCACTGTGAGATGTAGCGAAGCGGAACTTGCTCAGAGTCTCGGGGACCCCAGGTCAAGGTACCTTCCCGCCCCGCCGCCCCTGAACCCAAAGTCACCAGCAGTGCGCTGCGCGCCGAGACAGATTAGGAGGTCTCCGCCGCCGCGGCGGGGCCTGCCAGAACCCCACGTTGTTGGGAGTTACCCCGCACCCCTAAAAAGCCTCTGCACACGTTCCTAGTTGAAAGTACGCACTTTACGCGTCCGGGCGCCTCCGCGGTGAGTCGGGCCGCCGCGCTCCGGGTTCGCGAAGGTGGCTCAGTTCGGGCGCTCCAGTCTCGACGTTCCCGGGGCAGAGAGCAACGTCCGGGGACGAACGGGACGGGTGCGCCCGGAGGCCAGGGCTGCGCCGGGCGAGGCAAGCAGCGAGAGGGGAGCGCTCCCGCGTTCAGCAACAGCTACCCCTAGTGGGAGAGCCGCCCGGGG